AGGAAGTAAGGATCAAGTAAGGAAATATGTACTGTTCTCTCAAGTAGAAGAGCATCCTCTTAAACACAAAGGGGGCAGGGGAGAGAAACAGCATTGCTTTTCCAAAGCCTCGGCTTTGGATCATCAGAGTCCAAGTTTCCAGTCCTCCTTTTCTCTCCAAAGCTACCAGGGAGACTTCATTCATTCATGCTATTAGCTCTGCTGGAGTTATGTACACCATCACCAAGAACTGTAGCATGGGTGACTTTGAAAACTGTGGCTGTGATGAGTCAAAAAATGGAAAAACAGGTAAGTTGGGCTCTCTGATGGGAGGAGAAGGTGAAGGGTGCAGGGCTGAGTGCAGGCTAAAGTCTCCCAGGGAAAGGCTGAGGGGCACAGCTCTAGCTCCCTCAAACCCCTAGACTCAAACAGGAACTTCATAGATAGGAGCTCCCAGACCTAGACTCTCTCGAGAGTTGAGCCTGGGTCCATGATTGCAGGATTAGCAAGTAGCTCTAGTCTCTAAAACTAATAAGGCATCTAAAAATGAGGAAGCCAAAGAGAGTTTAAAGCTAATCCTCATATTTCAGGCTTAGAAGGGCTTATCTATAATCCAGAGGTACACAATTATTTGTCACTTTAGAGACTTACTCAGATTTGTCACTAAGAAGGGAAGAGATGACTCTAATAAGACTACTGTAGGATAATGGTGTAGAATTCCAGAATGTCTGAGCTGCAGTGAACCTTTGAGATCATCTAGGTCATCCCCAGCATACCTACTTCTACTGAGAGTATGGAGACTGGGAAGGTAGGAGCTGGGAAGGGCCTGAAGGGAGGACAGTTGGCTTTAGGAATAGGATTCTCACCACCCACACCAAGTACCTCCATTTCCTTATCTCACCTTCAGCTACAGCTTTACAGGCTTCTAGGGCTCTTAGGGATGGCTTGGCTATGTCAGCCAAGATTACTGTGACTCGTCTCCTGGGACTTAGCAGGGAACCATACGCAGAATTTCTTTCCTTATATGTAGGAGGCCATGGTTGGATCTGGGGAGGCTGCAGCGACAATGTAGAATTTGGGGAAAGGATCTCCAAACTCTTTGTGGACAGCCTGGAGAAGGGAAAGGATGCCAGAGCCCTGATGAATCTTCACAACAACAGAGCAGGAAGGCTGGTAGGTATAGGAGTCGGCCAGTGAGCCATTAGGCTCAGTATTGGCAAGAATCTCACATCTGTTCAGCCCTTCACAACTTAGCAAGAGCTATCTCATATCCATGTTTCATCCTTATACCACCCAGCAGGATGGCAGTGGCTACCCCCATTCTCTGGATGACAAAGCCAGTTAAGGACAAGTCAAGTGGCTTAGCCAACTAACAAGCATCAGAGCCAAGCAATGAACTCAGATCTCCTAGTCTTATTACTAAACCTCATGTTCTAGCCCTTCCACAGGCAGGTGTCTGAGAAGACAGAACAATACAGAATCAAGACCTAGCGTCTATGACTTAAATTTTTAATCTTTTCAACTGTGCGTTCTAGAAAACTAACAGAGGCTTATTATTCAGCCCTGTCCTAAACATTGTCTGGGTTTCAAGGAATTGGGACTGACCTAAGCTTCTCTGGAGGGTCTATTCTTCTCTAAGACTTAGCAATCCCTGAAGTGTTCTAAACTCAGATCTGGAAGCAGGTTGGATTTAGAGCTAAGGGCATAGAAATTTCCCTTTGAACCTATATCTAGATATCGTGGTTCCCAGGGACAAGGAAAAGAAGTTTTCAAGGCAATTACAACCACGTGTGATTGCCTTGGGGTAGGGGTTCAGACTCTAGGAGCTTCATACCCTTTGAGAAAGGGCCCAGAGCACAAATCCAGACCCCCACAGATACTCTAACCCCCAGCTTCAAGACAGTAACAGTACCAATGATCCTATTTTCCTTTATAAATTTACAAAGTACTCCATTGATCATTCTGAATCCAATTGGTCTGATAACGAAACAAGCTCAACAAGTGATGAAGTTATGGCCTGAAGCCAAGGTTTCCTGACTCCAGTAATCTTTTCAACACTTGCCTGGCTTTCTTTAAGAACCACCAAGGGAGCTTTAAGATCACCAACACCAGCCCCTTTAAATCCTTGAACATTCTAATTGGGAAGATCTGAAGTAGAGCTCAGGAATGGATATTTTTCATGGGCTTCCCCAAGTAATTCTGATGCTCCTCCAAAGAAGCACAACTCTAAAATATTTAATTGCTAACCTTTGGTATTCCCTACCCAGAGCCATTCTCTCATTTGTTCTTGTTCTCTCTCTCTCTCTCTCTCTCTCTCTCTCTCTCTCTCTCTCTCTCAAGGCAGTAAGAGCCACCATGAAAAGGACCTGTAAATGCCATGGCATCTCAGGGAGCTGCAGCATCCAGACATGCTGGCTGCAGATGGCTGACTTCCGGGAGATGGGAGACTACTTAAAAGCCAAGTATGACCAAGCGCTGAAAATTGAGATGGATAAGCGGCGGCTAAGGGCTGGGAACAGTGCTGAGGGCCACTGGGCACCCGCTGAAGCCTTTCTTCCTAGTGCAGAGGCTGAGCTGATCTTTTTAGAGGAATCACCAGATTACTGTACCCGCAATTCTAGCCTGGGCATCTATGGCACAGAGGGTCGGGAGTGTCTGCAGAACAGCCACAACACATCCAGGTGGGAACAACACAGCTGCGGGCGCTTATGCACTGAGTGTGGCCTGCAAGTGGAAGAGAGGAGAACTGAGGCCATCAGCAGCTGTAACTGCAAATTCCAGTGGTGCTGTACAGTCAAGTGTGATCAGTGTAGGCATGTGGTACACAAGTACTATTGCACACGCTCCCTAGGCAGTACTTGGTCTGGGGGCAAGGGTAGCACCTGATAACACCCTAGGCAAACTCGCTCAGTTTGCATGACAATGGAGGGGGACACAGCTTCTCTCTTAGAGAGAGTAAATTGGAAAACAATTGGAAAAGCACAGGGTTGCTCTGCAATCCTCTTAATATCTCCTATATATTGGGAAATGAAGCCCAAGATTGTACGTTATTCTTGATGGAGCTGAAATTGGAACCTGGACCTCCTAATTTGGGCAGACCCCATTCCATCTTCCAACAAGTTACTTCCTGGTATTTATACCTGTACTTTTACAGCTTGTTTGGTTTGGGGGTCTATATTCAGAGAGACCCTCAAAGTACTTGTCCCTGTAAGTTTTAGACCATGTCCAACCCAGCTGTGCTGCTGAGAATCAGGGAATGGAAGCAAAAAATGAAAAAGTTCTGTCCAAACTACTGAAGGAGCAACTTTCCCCTACTCTAGCTAGCTCCAGAAAGACCAGTGTACAAGTTCATGCAGATAAGTGGGGGTAGAGACTACATACCTGCCTACTGGGAGGTTTTTAGAGTGTTGGGTTTTTCACCTGAATATAAACTTTTCAAAAATTCTTCCCACCCAACTCTTGGGAAGCCAGGACCCAATATAACCTGAGGACTTTTCCAGCTCAGAAACCATCTGTGGAGCTATGGAAAAGGAACACGGTTGCAATAAGTGGACAGGTGACTACTACTTATCCATACAAGCAACCCTCCTAGCTATCCATCCTCCCCCTGAGAGATTTTCCCCGAAGAGCTGTAAAACGACTCTATTGTTATTTTCCCAGATTGGGAACTCAACTTTATTTTGCAATAAAAGCTTCTAGAATATATATCCACCTGAGATCTTTTATTTCTCTTTTTGGAAATTTAGGATTAGAAAAGGAATGAGAAATCTTACTTCTGTATCCCAATTATACACAAGGCGAGGGAGAACTGGAACTGGAACTATGATATCAGTGTTTGACAGATAATGAAATAGAGGCCTAAGAAACTAACTGGCTAATAGGAGCACAATCCAGACTCCCAGATTTAAAAGGCGTTATTTTAATACAACCTAAGCAACTTTTGGAACAAGGAAGCCCTTTAAACTTGAACCATATTCAAAGTATGTTTACTTTCTTAACTTGGGCTTCCTGGGGTGTCTGTACACTGAGGACCTGGGCCCTAGGGCAAGAGTCTAAGAAAGTTGTGGATTCTACCTTCCTCATTTGCACTTCTACATTTTCCACTGAGGATCTTTGGGGGAGGAGTCATTACCCATAGAGAGCCCTGGGGTATAGACAGACACTCATCTCCTAAATCTGAGCATTCAGCCTTGGAGATCCCCCTGCAGGGAGGAGATATTTCAGATATGTGAACAAACAAGTAAAATGACTGATAACCAAGAAAGGGGAAACACTCTCAGCTTAATATTCTAAATTGGAAAACAATTGAAATGTTCACAGTATGGCAAACTAGTTAAATCATGGCCCCACAATGGAATAGTCACCATTAAAACAATGTTCTGGAGAAATATTTAGTAAGATAAAAAACATGCATGATATAATTAAGTGAATAAAGTTAATTACAAAGCACCATGTTCAGGATGAACCCAAGTTTGTTTTAAAAGATATGAAAATATTTGTTATCATGTAATACCAAAATATAAGATGATTTGTTTTCCTTTTTGTGTTTTCTGTATTTTTACATTTGGCTACAATAAATAAATATTTTAGTCATCAAAAATAATTAATAATGTTATTTTTAAGTGCCTTCAGGGACTAACCAATCTTTTTTTTTTTTAAGTGAAATGTTCATTAAGGAAGTTGGCATCTCAAGAGAAACCATAAGCAGGTGCCTTGAGAGTCCACTCTGGTCTCTATTATTTATGGTGCATTTAAAACTACTACAGATGCCAGAGACCAGAAATAAAAAGAAATCCATAAAAATTTAGCCTATGTCAAAAAAAATGTAAGATTTCCTCTACTTCCCTCCTTCTAAGGAAGGTAAAAAACCACACTACAACAGAGAAAGGAAGTGTGTGTGGCATGTGTGTGTCCAGAGGTAGTAAAGGGAAATGGAAGAGATTCTATCTAAGCCCCAAAATTGTGGTGAATAAATAGGCAACCAAGAGAAAAAATTATTTCCCTGTGACTTAGGGGGGGAAAAAACAACAACAAAAAAACTCCACCATTAAATTTTCTGGCCTTGAGGTTAAACCCTCAATAAACAAAGATGCCAAAGTACCCATCATGAAACCTGAGTTGTGACACTGTGCTAGGGAAATTAACAACCTAGATTTTTCTCCTTTTTATTCCTAACTATATATCCATCCAAAGAACCCAGGTACCTAATAATTTGACATTTTCCCCAGGACCTTGCTGACATTCCCAAATAATCTTAAGGGAGATTTTCAGAAACAAAACCATCCCTGCTGCCCTGTCCAAATTGTCATTCAGGAGAATAATATGCCTGTGTTTTATGTGGGTTTACATCTGAAGTTTTCACTAATGAAGCCCAGAGTAATTGAGAATTCCATGAAAAGTTTGCCTACGTCTCCCAAAAGCCTATAGTCCCACTCCTTACAAGTCTCTTCCATTCTCATTCATCTTACTTTCACGTGGCAATCACAGCAACCAATTTTCCGACATGGATCCTGGGCCAGGAACTAAAGGAATTCAGATTTCTCTACATCCATCACCTTCCTGTCAGGGATTCATTCCAAGGCATTACAGTGTCATTCAGATTCATTAGTTACCACCCTACACCCCTTCTTCCCTTTTGGCTTGTCCTTAACAAGCTAGCTATCATTAAGGTGACAGAACAGTAAAACCCCCGTGTTCAATAAGTTCAGGACCCAGGACAGGCAGATTGGCCACAATCTGATGGTTGATCTTGAAAAACAGCTGAAAAAGAAATCAACTCAATGAAGGAAACCTGTCCATGAGCCTATTCTAATATTTCAGTAAATCAAGGCACCGCTTCACATTGCCTGGAGAAGAGAAGCCTGTATTTTCTCAGTCCAGATTAAAAAGGAAACAGTGCTCATGCTTGTTAGGCCCGTATAAGCTTTTCTCCTCCTCCTCCTCTTTCTTCTCCTCTTTTCCATCTGACCCTTGTTGTGGATAGAATAAGGGATGCCTAAAAAAAAGCCCTGAGGACTTTTCCTAGAGTCTCCTGTGGTCCCCTGCCAATCTCTTCAGGGCTTGCTGTTGGGTAACCATACAGTTAAGGGTGGAAAGGAAGCAACCGAGTACCTACTAAATGTCAGGTGCTTAATATATATTATCTTCTTCGATCCTCAGAACGAGCCAATTAAAGTAAACAATTGTTCCCCTCTTACTACTCAGGAAACTGGCTCAGAAGCCCCAACCTAAAATTAAACATGGGAAGATGGATTTGAATTCAGGCCTGTACCACTGTAAATTCATAATCTCTTCTACACCACTTACACTCTGGGAGCCCCAGGGATCTCTGGTGATTTTAACTGTCTTGACAGCCTTGTAGAGTGACTACCATTCATATGCAGTGCAAGGTGTCTTCTTCCTCCCTCTTATACAAATAGGACAGTCACATTTCTCACCCCTTCTCCAGAATGAAGAGACCTAACTTTTGACTTGCAAAGGACTTCCTTAGAATGATAAAGCAGATAGCCTGGCCCCTGCTGACTTGGGAAGACAGAATCCTAGTTCTCAAGTGGGTACTTAAAGAAAAAGGCTAACCATTATGGTCTATATCAGAGTTCAAAGTTTCAAAGGGAATTTAAAGGAGGGGTGTTTATTTTGGAGGATGAAAGAAGGAAAACAGGGATCCAGAGAAAGACAAATTTCTAGCCCTAGATCATAAACTACTCATAATCCTTGATCACAAATATTTACTCAGAGCCCAGAGAAAGATGTTTGGGTTTGGGGAAAAAAAATGAAATCAAGGACTAGAGTAAAGTCTTCCGGAAGAGGTTAAAGACTTTGGGGTACAGCTAGAGCTCTAAACCACCTAACCCTGCGGCATTCCGTCCCACTGGAGGAAAGCTAGGTTTAGAAAAGAAAAGTATCCCACCCAGTTTCACCAAATGAGATAGCTGAAGAGATAATACTAGACTCCAAGGCCCTGAACACTCCATGGCTGGTGCTCTGCCCACCCTGTCAGGCTGCCCTTTTCATCAGGAAACAGATTAATGATGACCAATGGAAAGCACTAAGGAAATGAGGCCAGAGTTCTAGGAAGCCTCAGGCTATACCTGGCCAGTGAGGGAACAGGGAGGCTATGGGTAATGATGGGACTTGGCAATCCTGAGATCTCTTATTTCTTCACCAAGAGCTTCTTGCATATGAGATCACTTGATTCAGTCACTGCTTATTAACAGGAGAACTCTGAATTCACAGCTAAAGGAAGAAGAGCACATAGTACACTCTGTTTTGAAAGACCATCAGGAAGAGTGCTTGTTAGAACATTTGCTGCATGTCTAACTTGTGTTGACACTTCTATATTTTAAGCCTACTAAATCTTTTAGGACCTCTCATTATGGATTTAGGCCTTTGAACATTTCTTTTCTCCAAGCTAAATAACCATAATTACTCCAGTTTTCCACTAGTTCCCTCTCACACTCTTTTTCTTAGACCATTTTCAAATATACCAACTTTGGGTTTCTATGAAGAGTCAAATGGGGGTGTGAACCCTTCTCAAGCCTCAACTGCCATCACCTCTTTGCCCTCAGGTATCTGAAGAATCTAGTTGGTTGTCACAGAGCTTTGATCACCCTGTCAGGCTCCACTTGTAATTCTCCCTTGTCCAGGTTCATTTCTAACACCCTCCATCTGCCAGGACTTCAGTCACCAAGGTCCTCTTGAGCTAGGGTCTTGAGATGGTGCGAGGGCAAGAATATGAAATGGACAAACAGGACTCACTTCCTTCTCTGCTCTCACCTGTGGAGAATTTACATACTCTAAAATTTCAGTTTTATTTCTTTGCCGATGACTCCTAAATCGCCATCTCTGTGTGAGCTCTAAGCACCACGGCTCTGATGTTTCACTGGCCATTTCTATTTGAGTGACAGAATTGATTTTCTCTTATGATTTCTCTGTTTCCATCAGTGGTCTAATAAAACTTCGAGTGACTAAGAATTACTTCTGAGTTATTCCCAATTCCCCTCTCTGCTCAACTTTTCATGTTTAGTCATCTTTCTTTGGTTTGTCCTCTAAACCTATTCCCTACTCTCCATTACCTTTGCCTCCACTCTAGACTGACTATTGTACCTTGTACTTGATTTCTGCACTAACTCAATAACTCTCCACTTCACACATTGTCACCATATTTATCTGACTAATATATCACATTCAATTTATTATCATCTGATTTAAAAACAACAACAACAATAAAACTTGCAATGTCCTAGAGAATAAAATCCTAATTCTTTGGTCAGACATTTCAAGTCTCCTAAACTTGACACTGC